TTTTTATTAGACAAGTATGTTTATTGTGGCGTAACTATTTTTTGATCATCATTTAACTCAAAATCAATTTATAGTCTTAGAACCTACTTTTAATAGCAAAGCTTCCATATGCACTAAGATACTTAATTTTATCGATACCTATTTTCTTGAATATTCTAACAAGTTTCGTAGATCTTTGAGTCCTTCTAGTTAGAAAATTACAGGAGATTTTTGGAAGCTGTATACCTATTTCTTTTGATCTATTCTTACAAATAGTAGCAAGGTGTTTTAACATCTCATCATAAATTATACCTTTTGCTTTTTTCTCTCCAATTTTGTCTATTTTTCATAATATCATTATACTGATATATGAATTCTTTCTCAAAGTTAATCCAGCATAAGATTTCTTTCTTGTTGGCTTTCTTAGTACGATACTTAGCATCTGATGCTTTATCAAATAGTTATGTTAAAACAAGCAGAGATGAAGAATATTTTAGATAATGTCTTATTGCTGAAATTTTAGTCTCATGTAATATATCTGAAGAGGAACCAAAGGAAATTGGCACTTGACATTTTACATCATCCTGAATACCGTTAATTATTACTTGGTCAATTTTCTCAACATCTTTTTTCTTATGACTATTCTGATAAGATTGCTTCACAACCTCTTGTCCTGAAAATACCACGCTTTTAGTATAAAACTTCCTTTTCCTATTACGTTGCTTAATCTTATTACTAACCTTTTTCTTATGCATCTCATCCAAAAAAATGTCTATTTCCTTATCTTCAGGTAATAAAATATCCATCAATGATTTCTCATAATGTGTTACCGTTGGTACCTGATCTGCAACTAAATTGAAGTTAGATGAATTATTGTTAGAAGAATTATGCGAAGCATTTCTCGACTTATTTAGAGTCTACTTCTATTTCACTTTCATAATTCTATCTCTAAATTCAGATTCCAACTCCTCAATTCTAGTCTTGAGTTTGGCATTTCAGCATTATACCTCTCATTATATTCCTCATTCATTCTTAGAAACTCAATATTCCTGTACTTAAGTTCAGCTATTTCAGCATCAAACACTGAAAGCTTGTTTCTAAAATAGGAGATATTGGCATTTTCAGTTTCAAGCTCAATAATCTGTTATCTTCATAAATCTATTTCAGATTGCATTGCCTATATTGAAACGATAATTATTTTTATACTCTATATATTAGTATTCAAATTCGGTAAAATATACTCTTCAATCAAAAATCCCTTTTTTCTCATAAATTCAGCTTGAAAAAAAAAAGCTATCTGGATAAGCTAATAGAATAAACAAGCAGGGTTGGCTATCTCTCACAGTATCAAAGGTATAAGGGAGGGGTGAATAGCTATTAGGATTTTTTAATCAAAAATAATAGAAAGACAGACGCTGTACATGGATCAGCAAATTCTTCTGAGCTGGTGATCACTGCTCTGAACTAGTCAGAGTATCTTAAACAGAGAGGCATATTATTATTATAGACATCTTTATTCTCTGATTCAGTCTCGTCTTTAGAGCTCGAATATTCAGACTCTATTTCAGTGTATTCTGAATAATAATATTCATTTAGATCAAGATTTCTCATAATTTTATGATGTTTGAAAAACTTGGTTATTATGACCTTTCCATCTGAACCATTTGCGGTAAAATTAGGGAATAATAATTCATAGAATGTATATAACGAAGAAGGTAATATTTTAATCTGATTTCTTACATAAAGTCTTTTCTCTTCATTTTTTTCACAATATCTTGCATTCTGTTTATCAATATTAGGGTTCCTCAAAATCGAATTGAATCAAATATTTAAGCAATTTGAATTTGATTTGATTTTTTCAAATTGAATCGA